GAGCTTCCCCCTCTGGCTGCTCTGAAATTTTAACTCCTGCTCATGGGAAAATCTAGATCCATATAAAAAAAAAATTGCTCTAACTTTTGGGACAGATAACAACGTTTTACACTAAACCATCATCTCTGGCTTTCCTCACAGTCCCCACTGCAGCACAGACAGCAGACGAAAATCAGAGATCAAGCATTTAATTTTTCAGACTTTGAGATTAGCTATTAATCTGCTTACTTGAGTATATAAAACTGTAAAKCTACTGAACTAGGAAGCAATCCTTGTGCAGTTTTTACTAAATAAGTYAGTTATTCGGGTAGTAAATGACCTTAATATGTAACCAAATCACCATCATCTTGCTCAAAACAAAACTGGCATTTTAYGGGAATGAGAAWGGAAATTCTTTTAAATACTCTATGTCCACTYTGGGAAAAYACAAAAATATCCTTTAGTATTCTTGTCCAATGGCACAAGGACCAGGAGGCAGCAGRTCCCTGAGCCTCAGATGAGCACCTYTGCAGGGACAGTTTCCCCACCTGTCACAACACAGCCTTTGAAATGCAAAGCACAAGCTCAAGAACTACTTCTAATTATCACAAAAGGTACGATAAAAAGTGTCAAGGGCTTGCCTTTAGTGAAAAAAAGAAAAAGCCTGACAGGTTGGGTATTCTCTTACAAACCTGCAGGATATTGTTAAGTCTGTGAGGCCCTGCTATTTGCTCCATAAAATATTGCTTTTGTACAAGTCATCTCACCCCACAGATACTTCAAGAAAACAACCAGTTTGAAGTTTGCAAAATCAAATTTTACTGATATTAATATACTCTGTACTGTCTCACTGGAAAAAAACAGCAAGTTGGTTCTTACTTAATCCCTCCAAACACCTTTATAATGCTTAAAGTTTAGATTTAATGCAACAATGTCACAGCTGAAAGAGGTGGAAAGTTGATTTCATACCTATGTTATAGATTTCAGAGCTTCCAAATCTTACTCCATTTGGATTTAATGTACCATCACTGAAAAATCACAGACAAGGAAAACAAGGAAACATTAAGATGTGATTTACAGTTTGATGAAGAGGAAAAATTGATGCAATTAACCAAGTCTCTCCAGTGAAAGCAAAACGACATTAGAAACAGAATTGTAAGAGAATTGGAGTCAAAAAGGCATTTTGCTCATTAGAATGAAGCTGTACAGAGAACAGCWACATGATTAATTCCCTCAACTTTGTTTGAAACAGCAACTTTGAAATGAAAGCAGTAAACTCAGCCCCAACTGTGATCTTGAATGTCTGTGATCACTGACACAGGCACAACTTAATACCTGATAAACTTAATACCTGATAATGAAGTTTTGCTGTAAAACAAGTGGATGGCAAAGTCAAGACCAGAAAATTTCCCCAATTCACCACCCTGAATGTGCTGCACTCTCAATCCAAACTCTTGTGACCATTATGAACCATGGAACACAAAACCAAATCCACTATTGTCTTGTGGTCATAAATACAAAAGTTGGGTAGAAACTCAAAAGGAGCTTCCTTCCCTCAAATCCAATTTAAGGGTTGAAATCCACAATATGTGATTTAATAAAACTAATATAAAATTCATATAAAGCTATCAAGGGTGAGAGAACTATATACATTGTACTCCAAGGTGAAGAYGCAAATTTTAACTCTTTATTTTTATTTAACTCTATTTTTATTCCAAACAGTTCCACCCTACCTGCGACCCAGCATGACAATTCCTCCAGTCTTGGGGTTAATTTTGCAGTAATCACCATGGGCCCAGACACCTGGTGGAGAATGGCAAAGGTTAAGCAGCAGATTTCTTCTTCATCAGTCACAGAAGACATTGTGTAAATCAACTGGCATTATCTCAGTGAAATACATAAAAATATAACTGATATCCTCTGAGAACTGCTCACAGCAAATGTAAAAGGACTGAACTACACAAACAATCCACTCTACATTTACTGTAAAGAACCAGAACACCCAGGAGCAGCTCAGAAATTAGGATCAAACCCCAGGTTATCTGCTGGTTGCTTGTTTCCTTACAAAACCAGTGAACAGCTGCTCTGAACACCACGTTTTCAATTACTGAAAGCATCTTCCACAAAAATAACAACATTGCCACCAGTCTTTCTTGATCCATTTTTTTTTTGTTATGCACAATTCTGTACAAGAAGCTTTCTGGGCTTGTGTAATAGATATCAACAATTCYTTAGGGAGCTTCTGTGCTTACTGCTTTGATTTGTGATAATGMAAAATCAGATTTGACTTTTTATTACTATTTAAGACTGATAATGCTACAGCAGACTGCCAAAAACAGAAGTACAACCCAATTTTACTCAATTTTTTCTGAGGAAAAATACCAACCTCAATTATTTGCACATAAGACAATTTTCCAACTTCAATTACAATTTTAAGTTACAATCTTAAGCCCATTTAAGAGACAGAAAAGGGGTCCAGACAGAACCTCAGTGATTTCTGTCTTAAAAGTGTCACACTTATTTTTCTGTTTACTTCTGTCAGGCTTACATGCCTGAAATTTTCATATTCCATTTTCCTATATGGTTATCTCCCAACTTTTCTTGTGAATCCACCCTGTATTACTGTTATTTATTAAATAAAAACAAAGCTTCCACATCCAAAAAACAGCAGCTGGGGATCCTGCTCCTAAAAAATCCCTGCCTAATGAGAGCAGCAGCTCAATGGGATTGGAGATTTGCAGAGATCCTCAGTGGTTTTGTTTGGATCTCTGTTCAAAATAAAGCACCAGAAACAGAGTGAGGTATTATGAAATGCACAGTGGAGCTCTCACCCTGGAAATAGGGACTCAAAGCTGCACATGTGGCTGTCCTTGGGCAGCAGCAAATAAACCTGTGCCTGCCCCTACAGTCTGCAATGCCCAAATCCCTTCATTACACACCTGGGAATTTGGAAAAATAAGCCTTTCTGTATTTGCTTCCATTCTCATCGTTCCAGAAGTGCGTGGGCTGACAGGGAATAGGCTTGGTGCAAACCAGCTCTCCACTTTCACCCCAAACTGGTTTTCCTGTTAAAAAAAAAAAAAAGAGGAATTTTCCACATTTCCTTTCTGTAAATAACAGAGTAACAATGCAAAGAGCATCTACACTTACTACTTGTTGTTAATATTAACATCATCTAGCTACTGTATTTTTTAAGCCTGCACAGTATTTTGTATCACAGTTACCTTCATCATTCCATGCTTCTACAGCCATTCCAAGATTTCTGGCCTGAATTTCTCCTTTGTAAACTGGAACTGTAACATTCTGACCCATGAAACACGAAATTATATCTGTTCCACCTACAATAAAAGAAATCCATTTAGAATAGACAGTATTTTTTTGCAAAAAAGCAAACCTGAAAACTACACAAGAACTCTGGAGCTGCCAGTCTTTGCCAAAGACTTCTGATCCACACTAAGCAGCACAGAACAAACAGCATTATCTAGGATGTTGTGACTTTTAATAAAAGGTTTTCTTTCTCACTTTWTATATCTTTTTATATGTGCATGCCTTTCATGCAGAACGATCCCTTAAGGCATAGTTTCTCTCCTTTCAACAGTTTCTTTAATCTCATTTAAGGAGATTTCTCTTTATAGGAGAGGGAAAATAAACAGGCCCTACTTTACAGACTTCAGTTATTTACAGAATTACTTAGAAATGTTTTCTTGTTTGTTTTCATTAGTTTAAAGTAACCAGTGAAGCTATTTCACTCAACATTTACTTAACTTTTATTCCTTATTAGCATGGGAGGAGGGGAGCCAGGCCTTCAGGATGAACAGTTATCTCAAGAAAAATAGATACTGTCAAAGTGCTTACTTAACTGGAATATTTATAGTCTTTTTAGGACTTCATGGWAGAGAATTAAGACACAAATCAATCATGCTAGCTTTTCTCAAAAATAGGCTTCTGCATTTGAGTCTATTAATGTGTGTAGTAGCAAGTTCTAGATTCAGCACTACTCTTACTGAGCCCAGAGTCTGAGATAACTTCAGAAGCAGCACAGTTACATTTTAAAAATCAAACTGAGTTTAAAAGCCCTCTGAAAAAGTCAGTCCTTGTCACAAAGCAAAATGGGGAGTGCTGTGCTAGACCTTACATGACCAGAAGCTGCCTCAGCTAGCACWGCTCACAACAAACTGCACAGCATGGGGGCTTGATATTTCTCTAATTATATAATCTACAAAAAAAAAAACCCTGTCTGCAGTGCCAATTACTTGGCACAGAAGAAGTGAAATGGGAACTCTCCGAGAGGTATTTTCTGCTAAAGTCAGCTATTTGCAGAACAGTATGTTCTGTAGGTTAATAGACTCTTTGCTTGATCTCACCCTGCCACCCCTAAGGACAGCCAGTCAAAATAAATGATCATACTTAAAATCCAAACCATGCACCAAAAACACTTTGGAGTGTCTGACTTTCATTATGGCACAGTGAATTATGCAGAAAAATCTCAGCACTAAAAAGACAGCTCATTCCAGTTTAACTACAACCAATCCCAAATGATCCCAAGGTTTGAGCTTCCAGCACAAACAAACAGGCAGGAGCTGCACAGGCAATGAAGAGAATTACTGAGATGCTGCAGCATAAAAGCCTCACCTGAAATGGATCCCAGGAGGACATTGCTTTTTATGTGTTTGTAGACATACTCATAGCTTTGAGATTTGAGAGGTGATCCCGTAGACAAGATAGTGTGGAGTGTTTGGAGATTGTGGGTTTCACCTTAAAGAGGAGAAAAAAAATCAAACACAGGTTGAGGCAGAATTTTTACAAGAGTTTAGAACTATTTGTCACCACAATCCTGAATAATTACACAAAGGACTGTGAGAAGATGGGGAGCCAGAACCGGGAGAGGAAAGGTAGGAGGGAGGACAGAAGGGATTCACCAGCTTTTTGAAGCTTACARGGTTTTAAATTTTTCTCTTCTAGCACAGCCAGCCACTTTGCACCCGTTCCAAGGATGGTGATCCTAGAGGGAGAAAAAAGTTTACATGTTTTGCATATTTAAATATGCTAAGATTCTAAAGACCTGCAATTCCCACTGCAGTGAGCAGAGGCTGTTACTCTGTACGTGGATTAGACAAACAATGCARCCTCTTAAAGCTTTCTACGTGCAAGGCACATCCTTTTGAACTATCAAAATCAGTCAGATCACATGTCATTTCTGCAGCTTGGAAACTTTTAACTCTATCTTTAAATATTAAGCAAAGCTTTCCCATCTCACAAAGACATTCGCTTAYGTTTACAGGAATTTGTAACTGCAGAAGACTCCAAAGGCATCACAAAATGTTATCATGTTGACTTTATGAAGGGGCCATAGTTTTCCAGGAGTGCCTTGGTACAGTCTTAGACATCAAAACTGCACTTTCAGGGTATAGTTTGAGGAAAAAAAAATACTTTAGGATGGCAACCTGATTTTCTGGAGATACCTGTCTAGGTAATCCTGCAATCCTGCTAGGCTGGATTGCTCCAAGGGCAGGATGGAAGGTTGGACACTGTTCCAGGCAAGGAGAGGGGATATTTCAGCACTCCCAAAAGGGGATTCCTGCCTTTGCCATTGTGGTGGAAGCCTCCCCACTCAAGGAGGAATGGGCTACTTGAACAAACATCAGTGCATAGAGAAATTTATCCGGCAGCAGAAAGGCACAGAATGGTTTGGAYTGRAARGAACCTTGAAGATCATCTCATTCCAGCCCCTGSCATGGGGTGGAAGCTTCCCTGCCCAAGAGCCCACAGTCCACTGCTCCTCAGTTACCCTGCACCTCATCCATGTGCACTATTTTTACTCTTGTGTAACATCTCGCTTCCCTTCCATGCCTCAAATCAGCGCTTATTTTACATTAGAATACAAAATGCTTCTCTATTTTAAGCTCTTTGACACTTCCTCTACAGCACATGTAGAGCCAAATCTCCCTTTATTTCCTTCCAAGTGCTACAGAGCTGCATTTAGTCAGCAGCCACCAATTCCCCTGAACACATCATTAATGCCTGTCCACTTGAGTCATTCCTGCCACGCAGGATGAGATATCCTGATGATACCCCGAGAATATGCTCTCTGAAGCAAAGTGTGGTAGATCTTCAGGGAATAAGGTAGTCTTCATATGTTGAAGGCTTTTTTTTTTTTAACATATTTAACATATGAGTGAGCTGGGAACAGACTGCATGATGAAGTACCACCCAGATGGCCACCGCTTTTAGCGCCAGATTACAAAAGTGAGACATGCAGACACATTTATCTTCACTTGCTTTTGGCATGTGGAAACAATGCTTAAAAATAAGATGGGTTATTTCTCAATTCTAATTTTTCTGCCTGTTGCTCTGCCAGGGTTTTATTGTGGGGTGAAGCATGGCTGAAGTTTGTGGGTTTTTTTGTGCTTCTTTTTTTTTTTAATGGAAGCATTTTGACTTGGCATTAAGCTTCAGTTCTAATAGCCAGAGACAAAATGTCAGATTTTAAATATTACATGTCACAAAAGACAGTGGAGTTTGAATTATTAATTATGCAGAGTCAGAAAGTGAATCTTTTGTCATCCACTTTCCACCACAAACAAGTTTAATTATCAATTAAAAATGACACTCATTTTGCTGGTAATAAAATTCAAATCAACTCCTTACATGCAGTTGGCAAAACAGGAAAGTTACAAAACAAATCAAAAAAYCAAAGCTTAACAAAGTGTGCAAAGTTAAATGCAATCACAGGGTTTTACAGCTGTTTATCTGATACCTGCCATTTCTTTAGGCTTCAAGAAAGGGTGCTGTGACCCTTTTCAGGCACAAAAGATGGAATAAAACAATTACTGAACAGCTTGTCAGGGAGAATTAGGCATTATAGATTAAAAATCAAAATATGAAAATATAAGCAACCCTGCTGAGCCTTTTCAGTAAATTTATATCTTTAAGTCAAAGTTCTGTATTAAAATCTTATGTTAAGCTGCTTGAAAAGAGAATTCTTATTTACTAAGTTCTGAATGTGCTGAGAAATTACTCTTCAGATTGCTCCCAMTTACTGCCTTTTGAAAAGGCTGCTCTTGCAAACTATTGAACCAAAAGTCTTTGTTTGCCTGGAATTCTAATACCTGACTCCAATTTGAAACAATCAGCTCTTTGTCTCTCCTGCTCTCTCAAAAGTGGTTTTAGTACAAATTTTTAAAGCAGTTCCACTCAAGGCTGAGTCTAAAGATCAACTGTGTCATGCTGTGTGTGAGTTCCTGCCCCTTTAGGGAAGTGTTGGGATGGGGTCATGGTGACAGGAGCAGATGCCATCACCCTGTTTMACACTGTGTACATACCCCAGCCTGTCAGTCAGGTCCCAGAGCACGTTTGGAGAGGGAATTAGAGGAGATCCATCATACAGGACCACTGAGGCTCCTGTGGCAAGCGCAGTCACCAGCCAGTTCCACATCATCCAGCCGATCTGGGGGAGAGAAGGCATCTCCATGAGTTTATTCTGGTCTCTGAGTTTATTCAGCAGTGCTGTCTGGGGCACAGGAGCTACAGGCAGCTGGGAAAGGATGGACTGGGGCAGATCCTGGAGCACAGCACAATCCTGCCCTCGTGCAAGAGGTGCCACCTTCCTCTCTGCCTCCCCTGCCTGAAGTTTTCCTGCTGTGAAACCCACACCACTGGTTTTGTCTTTTTACATTATTTAAGACTCAGCAAATGAAGCTTATCCTCTCACCTGTCCCAAGGCTGCATCAGCTGCGTGTTCCTGATGGATGTTCMTCTAACTGATCCCTACAAATACCTAATGAGATGGGGATTCCATGCCTCCCTGCACACACAGCTTGAAAGCATGAGTCAGGAGACAGGACAACTTGGAGACAAGGCAATTACCATGATCCCTCCATGGAGATATTGCAAACTGACTAGTCATGTTAAAGTTCAGAAAGGAACTCAGGAGGAAAGACATCAGCCTTCTCAAAATGCTACAGGAATGTAAGTCCTAGGAATCATTTTTATCACAGCTTTAAAAAAAAAAACACCCCCACCACATAACTGAACTGCACAGATGAGGTTTACCCCCTCTGCTTTAGCAAGCTTAAGAGCTGGGCAGATTCTTTCCTCATAACCAAAACAAAGACATTACAGAAATTCTCATCTTCKGTATGACCTAGCCCTGCAGGAAGGTGGAATCTGATTTGCAGGTGATATTGATGAGGCAGCTTGATCAATAAAACCTAAGAGACTAAAAATCAATCCATTTTCCTCACCAGCTAGGTCAGGAACATTTAACATGGSTTTGAGCTTTCATCAGAAAGGTCCCTGTTGCATTTTATTTCACCTGATTTKCTATTTTTAACTCAGGCAGGACAATCCCTTGCAGTAAAAACATTTAACACACAGGGAAAAAAAATGCACTTGTGGATTTGTATGAGCAGCTGTCCCATCTTTATAGGAAAAACATAYTGCAGTGTTTTTAAAAATGCCTTAAGGCCCACTTGCCGTTGTGTAGTACATGATCACATCATTGCTGGTCATGTTGCCATGAAGAATGTGTTCCTTCAGGTGCTGTATCAGGGTACCCTGGAAAAAGAGMGAGAGGGAAATACAAGATCACATAAATGAAAAGCAAAACTCTGACAGCACATTAAGACTTTAAAAATACTAACACAGTCAATACTCTGCAGGAGGTACTCCAGGATTAAAGCAAGCATTGCCTTTAACTACAACTGAAGCAAATCCCAGGGCCTATCGACAGCAGCAGCAATTGCAGGCTCCATTTTCTCACATAACTTTCCAGCCTCTCTCATTAGACCTCAGCAATTCCCACTGCACATCACTTTTAATCCATGGAATAAACAACTTCCTTCACTTCCAACTCCACAGAGCCATCAGAGCTGCAGAGCACTCCATGCAGACCCTAATTTTAACAGCAGGCTTTTAGCAGTCAGATTTTCCAAGAGAAGCCCTCTGACAGTTTCATTTTCAGTGTATTTGGGAGGAATGAAGGACTGAGAGCTGCTATAAACTGCAGCAGCTGCTAAACATTAGCACTGTGTATCCAAATTCTCGTATCTATTAACATTTAGGAGATAAAAGACCTGACAATACAGATCTCTTGTAAACACTGGAGTGACTTGCAATGTGAAATATCTCACTGCTCACAGCATCAATATTAATAATGTCCTTAAATGTATTACTCCCTTTTGTTGGAAATGTTGCTAAACCACTTTCCTGATCATCATTAAAGCATAACTTGCTAGGATAAATAAATTTACAGACTACTTCATTAAGTCACTTCACTGCAGTGACAAATTAATGTGGCCGGTGTTAAAATAAAAAATGGTTTTTGCATTTATGCAAGGAGTCACAGCAAAACTATTAGGAGCCTCATAAGCATGAAACAAGATTTACACCGAAAGAAAACAGATTACAGATAAACACTCGAAATGAAAAAGGAGAGTCATAAAACTAGCACACGCTTCGGGAGGAAAAAAAAGCAGAAAACATTAAATAAAAATAAAGRAGTAAATCTTATTTTCACTTCAGCGCTCAAAGGAATCAGGTCTGAATTCACCTACTGCSGTTTGAACAGCCTCAGCTGGCACAACGCTGCCACCTAGCTATAACTACCACCTTCCACAGCTGAAAATCACCCAAAAAATCGGGATGTAGAAACATTGTGTCAAACTGAATTGTTAAGGTTGCCARAAGAATTGCTGGTGTTAACATAATTACTGCATTTGTAAAGGAAAGCACATTGTCCCTGCAGGAGYTTCTGAAAGAGCCGCACAAAATAGAAAAATAAAAAGTCAAATTCAATTAAAGTAAATATTGGTTTTCTTTTCCCTTCGTTTAGTTTTTGCTACTTCAGTTTTGGAACAAAAAGGAGACTTTCAACAATGACTTTAGGTACAGGCTATGCACAATTTCCCTGCAAAACCTGGTACATCTCAGCCTGGAAACAAAGGGACTGGGAGGAGGCAGAGCTGTTCTAAAGAACAGCATACCAAAAACCTACTGCAGAATTAGATAAACTTGTTGTAAATTTGAAGTAAGCTGCCTATTGGCATCTAAAATCAGTACAGTAACAGCACAGCATTGAAGCACGCCATAAATACACAATAATTGAAATGTCTTCACTGAAATGTCATCTCATCTTGCTGTKTTAACTACCAAAAACAAACTTGGCTTAATCTAAGGCTGGAAAATGAGACAAAGACAGTGGGCTAATTCTGCTTTTCTAAAAATCAAATCAATGCGAATCGTCCTATTAATCCCAGTGGAAACAAGACTAAGTCAAGAGCAAACAGACAAACCAAATCAAGTGTGTAAAAGAATTTAAGAATTTATTTGCATGGACTCTGTGCAGCCCTATTCAAACTGACATACAATGCATGCAAACACTGAAGTCTCTAATGCAATAATTTGCTTTTAGGCCAGAGGTGTTAGCACCAGAAGAAAAAAAAAAATCACCCTGCACCATAACTACAGAGCTGCTCAGTGGGAACAGAATCATCACAAACAGATCCTATTCATCCATCCATCCATCCCCTGCTCTCCTCCCCAGCAAGGATGAGTAGTCAGGACTTAAACTCTAAGGTAGCTCTGTGATTCAGCTGGAGAGCAGAGCCATGATTCAGGGCAAGCTCACACAGGTAACAAGGGAAAAGAACTTTGCAAGAGAAAAGTCCTATTGTCTGATCCACATCAATTTTTCATCTCCACTGTTTATCAYGCATCACTGAACAAAATACCTGTCCTGTTTTTGCTAATCCACCTCTGCAAGTACTTAACCAGTCTACAGCCAGCAGAGCTTCAAAACAGCTGTCAAACTTGAAAATCCTCCTCCTTTCTTCTTCACAAACACTGGATTCGTGTCCCAAAGGGACCATTTTGTGTGTCACGTGCTGCCTGGTATGATCTCCGACTGATAATACCTAAAGCTGAGTGTTTACAGGCAGCAGGGGATTTGTCTGCAGGCAAATCCTCCAGTCCTTGCCATCAAAGAGAGGCAAGAACACGAACATTATGGGCACAGCATCAAAGGATCCTGCCCTCAGGCCACCCAGCCCTGCAGGATGCTCACCCTGACTTGCAGAGCAAACAGCACAAGTGATGGACTCTGGCTAACAATTGTGCAGTTCCATTTRTACAAATGCCCTGGACAACACATCCTGCCTGCCTGAAGGGGAAAAAAACCTCCTTTCTATCAAGGATTATATTAGAGCAGAATTAAAGTTTCAACACTGCTGCAGTCAGTATCTCTACTTTAAGAGCTTTAGAACATCAGCAGTAAGTGGAAAGCATGTGAACAAAAGTCATTTTGGCACCAAAATCAGATATTACCTTTAGCCACAACAAGACACTGTCTCAGGCACAAAGCAAAACCTACACTCAAGGAGATGCCAACCTTCTGGCCTTCTGCCTTAAAAAAAAGATTGATGAGGATGAACTGATAATCATGAAGTAAAGGTCAAGATAAATAATTAACTAAATACAAACTGCAAGCTCCCTATGGGGCTCAAACTAACAGTATCCAAAAATCAGTTGGAAAAACCCAATTCAAGTTGTTTGACTTTTCTTCAAGTATCARTCAGGCTATTCCTACTGGTGCTTTTGTAGATGACATTGCTCCCAGGAAACACCTGGCATCTGAAAAGTCTCCACTGATCTCTAAACCCGTGTATTTTATATCCTTACCAACCCACACCTGCTTTCAAACAGCCACTAATAAATAAAAAGGTTCACTGCAAACTACTGAAAAACTGTCAGCAATCAACTCTTCCTTAAAACATGATGGTGTGAAACTGTTAAAGGAAAAATGTAACCCAAGGAGGGAGGACATACCCCTGCTGAGTGAACCATGCATTTRGGTGCCCCTGTGGTGCCAGAAGAATACATGATAAAGAGAGGATGACTGAAAGGCAGCTGCTCAAACTCCAGCTGGGGAGCCTGGTCTCCTTTCCCAGTGGCAAGGAAATCTTCTAGAAAGACACTGTGTAAGAAAGGGGAGGAAAAAAAGGAACATTTCAAAAATTTCTGAAAGTGTTACCACAGCCCAAACATAAGATTGCCTCTGTACCCAGTAGTGCTGCCATTACCTGTTTGGAATCTTAGAAATATCTATGGTTTCTCTTGAAGATACATATGGAATCACCACCACTTTTTTTAGGTCTGGAAGCCCTGGAAGAAGGAAGAAAAGAATTATTTCCTACCTTCAGTTACATAACTAAAGGTCTTTTCTACCYGACTGAATCATACCATGTAATGCACTAAGTAACAGAAATAATTCTGATGCACTGGGTATTGAAACCCCAGAAGACTAAATGGTTAGCCAAGATGTAATTTCCTCAATGCTGCCTCCCTTTTATGTGTAAATCTGCAAGCTTTAGTGCTGTAATACTTCCCCATTCGTCTCCAGCAGCACTTTGCTTGAGCTTAAAAACACAATCATCAGCCCCCATTCCACTGCTTTTACTGTTGGCTGATTTCTGATGATCTATTAAAGTTAAGCAAGCAGAAGATTGTTAAAATTACAGAAAAAGACCATTCAGTTACACCCAACTCTGTTCTGAAGATACAAGTGGCCACAGTGACACTGTAAAGGAGGAAGGACAGCAAAAAGCAGTGGCAGGGCAGGCTCTGAGWGCTCCCAGAATCACAGCCCAGGTGGGATGCAGTGAAATACCTTTTACCACCCTCAGCAGCTTTTCTAAGTGGTTGTGTTCTTTGCCATTGTATATAACAGCTTCGACAGAGAAGATGAGCTTAGGCTGAATTTGGGAAAATCTGTCCAGTACGCCCTAGGGACAAAGAGAAAAATGTGTTAAAACCATGAAATTAACTGCTACAGCAGGAAACTTCAGTGGGTGCTAAATGCAAACTTCAATTCAGGYAAGGAATAAGCACAGGAATTAACAGAAGAGTAGTTAAAAGATGGTTGTCTTTCACTCACACAAGATCTCTGAAGTACAACTAAATCTATTCCATGATCCCCAAGCAGATCAATCAATGATAAAATCCCACAGTCACAGAATACCCTTTATGGAAGAGCCAAAAAAATTCCCTTGCATGTCAGGTGTAGGATCAGGTAAAGAGAACAAGCAGCTGTGATGTGAGGAGCTGGGCACTGAATTTACACCAAGGGGCTCAGGAATCCTGGCTGCACCTGCAGGAAGGAGTTTCACACCCCCAAGGCTGCTCTGAGAACCCTCATGGGTTTTTTTGGGGTCTGCACTGGGGAAACAAACACCAATCTGGGGGGAGATGCATTCACATGGAGAGGTGGCCCTTGACAAGAACTGGCAGCTTTGTTCTGCCACCATTAGCAGAGGAAACTGCACCACTGTTTTTTAGTGAAATAAATTGATACTGAACACACATGGACTACCAACAAAAGAYACCACAGCTCCTTTAGAATCTCTGTGGCACAAAACATTCAAATGCTAAATCTTCAGGTGTCTCCTCCAGCTTATACTGCGCTCAGGAATTTGCCACAGCTATCATCCTTTTTGAGATTAAAACTATTGTGGCATTTACTTTTTTCCATGTACACCACATGCAGCAGCCTACCAGAAATGGATCTTTTTGTATTCAACAGCAAGAAGCAAATCCTTTCAATAAAAGCTCTCAGCACACTGATGTTCAAACCTCTCTAGCTCCATTACTTGAAGCATTAAGAACTACAAGATTACACAATACTGTAAAATTGTCAGCTAACTGCTCAAGAACAATCTCCTAAATCATGTTGCAGAAATCAGACTTGAGTCATCTGCTTATTCTTCCCAGYATTCATTATTCTTCTGTTTTCTATTTTGCCCTCTGCTTCACAGCCAAAATGAGAAACAAATTATTACCAAATCAGAAGATGAATACAAAAACATCACAATCAACTCATCTCTGTTAAATTCCTTTCCAAGTTGGGCTGCTTCAGAATTGCAAGAAAATCTGCTGCAAAAGGACAGGAGTCCTGTCCTGACAACTTCTCCATGCTGTCTCCCCAGGAAAAATTACTGAACACCACAGGTAAGGTATGGGGGAATGGCTAAATAAAAATGTATGTGTTGAGTATATCACATCTTTGATAGGATGAAAAGCTGTTGTTTTCTTCTTTTTCACATTATAAGAAGATACAGTGACAATGCAGTGACATTCAAATTTATCTATCACTTTCAAACACATCACCAGAATCTGTTACTAACAAATTCAGAAATGGAGATTTAACTAATATACTACAGTTACTCTCCAAGGGAGTATGAAGTCACATTTCCTGCTTCTTGGATACATTTTCATGCCTCCTTCTCTGTACCATTTTCCAAAGCAGCCCCACACGTGCTGTGTGCATTTTTRTGTGTGTACATATCCTCCTGCTGAGTGCAGAGCACACACAGCCCATTTCCCTGCTGCCTGATGTTTAAAAATTAAGACCAACGAGAACTAAGGGTACTCTAAACACAAGAATCAAATCTGAAGAGAAGTGTGAAGCAGAAACAGAGATGGCTCCAGTTGTCAGGGTCCTACCAAAGCTGCTAACACACCCAGTTAGATTCATTAGCACWGGCAGGACCAAATCCCACAGGGCAGCCTGCTATGATACAAAGGCAGTACAAACAGATGGAACATGTAATTGCTACACTGGAACTTTAATCCAACCAGATGGCTCAGGAGGAATTCCTTCCACAAAAAGCTCAGGTGTAGCAGATATGGCTCATTCTCATCCATGAGCCTCCAGTTCAGTCCAAAAAATTGTGCAGGGCCTCATGACTGGAGCTGTGCTGGAGCTCACCAAAGGCTCCTCAGCAGCTCTGAGAACAGAGTTTCTTTATAAACTTACACATCCAACCATTCCACACACACAGGCCACAGTGCCCCATTCCCAATAATTTCTGGGAATGGATAACAGGGACCAGAGAAATGAAGCAGCAGCTGCCAAGAGTGGAGTTGTGCGTGGGAGGGAAGGAGGGAGCTCAGTGGCTCTGTGACAGCAGAATTCCTTGGTGCTTGGAGGGTGGCATTCAGAGCCTGCAGAGTGTGGGCAGCTCTGAGGAGTGACATTTCTAAGCTACACAAAACATACAAACACAATTGGACTTCARAATGTTGAAAAAGCTGCACTGTTTCTCCAAGCATAAAAATCTTGGTTTGTATTAATAGGATTAATGCAACTTCACAGAAGGAGGAATAGCTTTTCCTTAGGGTGGAAATGTCTCTGAGGGCTTCTGCTGATCTCCCTCAGGATTTTCAGATTTGAATTCATGCCAACACACACTGCCAGAGGAAAATAAATGATATTGATGGCACTGCAGCTCCGAGACCAAGTTTCATTAAAAAACTATCACAAAAACCTARAAGCTGGGCACTGAAAACAGCAGCAGAACAACACGGGCAGAAAACATACCAGTCCTTTGTAATGCAAGTAAAATGAACAATCTTCYCCCAGACGAGAGATCGAATCACATTGCACAGAAAATACTCCATACCATCATTTTCTGAGCAAGCAGAAAATATTTGTAGAACAGATTGATCATTACATGCTGTAATGATTTTTTTAATCATTTTTTTYCCCAATGATATATCCTCAAGGCTAGAACATGGAATGCTGCTGCCCTCTAGTGCTAATCCAGGAAGGACCATTCCATACATTTTCCCAGCACTGGGGTAAACACCAAAGTTGAATGCGTTATTTAAAAACATTTTAAATCTTTTTTAAAACAGTATATTTTTTATATATAAACTTTCAGATAAAAGGTTCAATAGCCCTCTTAGAAGTGATTTAGATTTGTTGTTGTCATGTGCTAAAARCTTTCCAAAGGAAGCAGAATATACTACCAAAGCTTCCAGGGCACAAATGTTTGGATGTCACGATTTCACACACAGCATTTATCTCTACACTAAAAAGAGTTAATCAGGTTAGTGATGTTAGCATGAAATTTATCACTGCTGGCAAATAAAACCTCTGGAAAAGAGCAACCAGGGCGGTGCTGAGTTCACCCTCACAGGAGAAAAAGGATGGGACGACTCAGGTAAAGAAACTGAAGCATGGCTAAGCAGCATGGGGCAGGATTTAGGGAGAAGAGCCAAACCTCGGACAACTTTGTTGCACTGCTGCTCATTTGCATATTTAATGTAATAAATGATCACCCAGATTAAGGAATCCATCTGAAAATATCCCAACAGCRAGGAGCTAAAGCTGCTCAAATCACCAAGCTGCAAATCAGTACTGACAGTGGAAAGCGAGGGCTTTGTGCAGCTGCAAAGAGCTCGGAGTGCTCAGCTGTGCCAGGAGGTGGCAGCAGGACTGAAGGGAACAAAATCCATCTGCCACGGGAATTTATCACCCTGGCATGGATCTGAGACACAGCGAGGGCTGCTCTGCACAGGCACCGAGGTTACTCACGTTAATGCCAAAGTCTGGGGATGTGGAACTCCAGATGGCACCAATGCTCGCAGCGGCCAGCATTGCCTCCACTGCATGGATGCTGTTGGGCAAGTAACCTAGGGCAGAGGTGGAATGGTTAGAGGTGGAATAACACTGATATATAAAGGTATATAGTAAACAGATTTTAAAAATGTAAAATCCTGAAGCATCAATGCAAAATCCTWGACTGAAGCATCCTTTAAAGTCTTCCATACAATCCACGTCCTCCTTGGAAGTCAAATCAGTTACACAAGGAATTAGTAATAAAACTACTTGTAAAAAAGGTTTGTATCAGTTTTCTGTCTACTAGTGCTACTCCAAATTTACAAATGTTCCTGCTTAATGAGGAGCCTTTCAAAGTAAGAAAATACTGAAAAGAGTAACAGGGAGTAAAAATTAGTGGACTGGTTAGGGCACACAGAGACTAAGAACACAGCAGCATGCAGGGGAATACAAGGAAACTGTAGGACCAGATATTAGAGAAATGACAAGYATCTGTAAGGAAAGATTATAAATAGCTCCAGAGCAGAGATTCAGCTTCACAAAGCTAAATGTTGTCRGGTAGACACTGCCAGAATCTTAAACACAAACAAGCAAAACCGGTGTCTCAGCTGATAAGGGACAAACACACTGGGACAAGTCCTGGAACATTCCCAAACAAATGTGGCTCTTCAGGTTTCTCTCAGCAGCTTGCAGCAAGATTTCAAGATGCAAATTCAATTTATCACGACATACAGAATAAATTAAYGTCAACAAAGTCAGATTTGTGTTTCAGTGAGATCAATTTGAGCAACTCTCCAGAAGGTGCTGGGTGGCTGAGTCTGACTCTGCACTGCTCAGAACCCAGCCCASAAATGAAAACACACAACTGGAACTCACAAACTACACTGAGGTGGATCAAAGACCTGGAGTTTCAGATCATCCTTCTTAAGCAACCAAAGAGATGGTTCAAATACTTAAAACAGCACAGGATGGGCCTAATTGCAGTACTCTAATTAGAATTCTATATGTGGAAGCAAAGGACAATAAAAATGCTTTCCAACCTGTTCAACAGCAGTGGTGGGCACTGAGATCTTGGGCTGCAGGTGCACCACAAGTACTGACCAGATAGCAAACACTCACCAGAGCAAGACATTTCTCTGCTGGAAGAGATCTATTTATGGATCTATTTTTCAGGACAGCAACTAAGATCACAGATCTTAACAGCAATTTCTGCTACATTAATATTATCAAGTAGGAGGATACCAAGATGGATTTTTGTGAGGTTTTTCTACACAGCTTGAAAAAAAATCCTTTTACAACTTGTAAAAAGTAAACTTGCAAATCAAGTCTTAAATTGAGATTCTTCCTCATACAAAAATCAGTGAAATCAGTTTCTAAAATCAGCARTGCCACTTCAGTTACTGAAAGCTGCTGTGCTTTTGGAAGTGGTAACTTTTAAAGCAGCATTATGACTTAAGCCCAACAATTTCTGGAAAACAAACTGTGAATAAAAGCCTCATGCCATGTTAAAATATAAATTACTCCCCAAAACTGCCTACAGCTTATAGTGTTTTGTTCAGTGAAGTTCTTAAGCACATAAAGTGCAGCAAAASCTCATGCCCATAAAAGCATTATTTATTTTGCTACTTTTCCCTTGAGGCCAAGGTTYATACAAGACACATTATCCCAAAATCTTAGCGATTTTTCTTTTGAGACAAATCTTCCTCCCTAAATAATTTGAAATAGATGAACCAGAACAGACCAAAATGTCATTTTGTGTGACRAAAGCAGTTCTTTAATGGATGCCAAATATTTCCACTGAGCATTTCTTGGATGGGATCATCAGGGAGCCAGAGTGCAAGGAAAACTGAAAGATCTCTCCCCCTGCTTTGGACAGTTGTTACTCTGCCACAGCTCACAAGCTTCAGTTCTATTCTAAGCAATTCTCCTTTCCACCACTCCTACACAAAAGCCCTCAAGGCAAGAACACAAGTCTGTGCTGATTATTGTGAGCCARACAATTAAATCGTTACTCTCATTTGTCGGCTGGCTTTGAGGTGGTGCTGGAGTTTTGGAGGATACCAGCCAAAATTGCCCAAAGGTATGAAACATGCACAGCAACTGACTCTGCATTTCTGCATCTTCACCCATCACTGAAGCCTTGCTGCTCTCTGGGATCTCAGATTTGTCCTAACACCACCACAGATAAAAATATGGGACAATTCTGGCTGGAGATCCTCCAAACAAGCAGTGTAAGAACTCGTGCTCTTTCTCCTGACAACACAAATTGCTTCTCTTGCCAGTCTTTCAGATTAAAACTGGATTCTCATCTAGAAGCAAGTAAAATTATCWTTTTTTTTCTCCCTCTCATATTTGAGATTTTGAAGATGATGACAACAACTGCCATGTGTGTGAAGCTCCCTGAATTTGACTGTGTCCCTTGAGATAGCAGCACACTCCCCAGGGCACTCAGTGGACTGGCACAGGTCCTGAGTGCCTAAAATTGGGGAAACATGAATGTTGCTGACAAAGAGGATGAAAAAGGCATCTTCTCTACCTGGATTAACCACAGGCAGGAGTCAGAGCAGTGGCCCAACTACAGAAGCTCTGTACTACAGAAGAATAATGGTACTGCTCATTTAAATATTTATCATATTGGTTTATATATTTAACTGGAGCCTCCATGTTCATTGATACAATATTGCAGCTAAGGCTCAAATTTGGAATTTGTCAGCATGGGAAAGGCTACAGAAGGTATTTATTTCTGCATGTTACCTCCCTTGAAGGTGGTGASAAAGGTGAAAACTCCCTTCTATTAGTAGAAAGAAAAAGACCTTCCTGCTTTGGGTGAACTAGAAAGCAATGAATAAAGGGCTCAAAACACAGGAGCTGGGGACTCATCAAGTAGGAATATCAGAGTATGAGACAAGGGTCCCAGCACTCCTCCTGACTTGTAAATAAATATGTACACCACAATCACCACAAAAACAGAAATGAAAGCTTTACCTAGCATAAAACCTGTGAAATCTCAAAGCAGGACAAGTGATACTTTAAAAACACTGTCAGGATTTTTTTTAAGAGGCACTTACAGCCTGATCTGCTCAGGACTGTAAGTGTCTCAGCATTTTCTGTCAGTTGCTATTTGCTTAATCTAGCACACACCAAGATTACGTTAATATGTGTTCATTTACACTGCAGCACTTGACCAACAGAAYASGTAAAAACTGTAGTCCAAAAATTTMATATAATCAKGGTAAAAGCTATGGCAAAAGTCTAATTTCTCCAAGTGCTGAGAACACATTCCATACAAGCACCTGATGCCTTCAAGGTTAATAAAGGTAYACTTGGAAAAAGAGGCACCCAAACATTCAGTTATCTGCATTAAAAAAAAAATAAAAAAAAAATCAACAACTGAACTGGGACCCTGCATCAAAGACTTTGTCTGAGCCTTGAAAGAATACACCAGGAAGAAGGGAAATAGGGAGCAGCAACTCAAATATTTGAAATATCTTCTCAATATCTTACACTATGGAGCTACACCAGTTCTCAAATTGAACAGAGTACAGAGACCAGACTTCCAGCTTCCCTTTCCAATGTTAACACAGCATTTCATGCTCCTACAGGACTTCAAAGTGGCCACCATGCCTAACATCACTGCAGCCTGAGACTATTAGTACCATGCTAATCTTCTTACAAWGCTAGCTTTAAAACCCACGTAAGCAACCAGGGCTAATACAGTTGCTATAGATAAAATACCAGCTTTAAACAATGTAATTCATTGATGTTTTGTTGAAGATGTTTCYGTGTGAACACACGGGGAAGATCAGATTGTTTTTAACTGCTGGCTGGTAACAGAGCAAAGGTGGCTACAGGGAGAGAGCAGAAGCAAACTGTGCAGAGATGAGAAATATCYTCCCAGTTTTATTTTATTCTTATTTCAGTCATTGTTTGCCAAACAGAYGGCCAGTGGGAGACCAGGAGTACCTCACATGTGGATCTGTGCAGCTTGCACTAGGTATTGYTAGTCTCTTCCAACTGTTCAAGCATCACTGACATCTTTAGAGGAAGAAATATGTTTCCCAACACATCTGCTTCAATTATGTTCATTATTAACTGCTCTCTCCTCAGTGATGGAAAGGGAAGACTAGGATGAAATCAAGCTGAAAAAGTGCTGACACCACTGCCTGTCCACCCACACTCGCCCACCTCCGACTTGAACGTACCATTACTGTCATGATGCAACCATAAATTGTACTGAACAAACTARGGGGTATGTTAACTATAATGAGAACTTAGAGCAGTCTTGTCTTGGAGGCAGCAAAGCACGGAGATGAAACTCACAGGAAAACAACAGCAATGGTGTCATGTGTAATTCTAACAGATTTTAAGAGAAAGTGTCAACAAAGGGCACGAAAACCTGACAGGCTGAATAAGTTAGGCAGCTCTAATGAAGCCCAGGGAATTGCTCCCCTCTGTTGAAAGGGGGATTTTTCAGGAGCAGCAGAGCATGCCCTGTGCTACTACTGTGAACCACACCAAGAATCACCCTTCCCTCTGCCACCTCCTCTAAAATCTGGAACAAATTACATCCAGTGGATTTTGGCAAGTTTTGGAGATCCTGATTTTTGATACCAGAAGTGGGTGTAGGACTCAGCTTTCCCACCCAGTGCTTAATCTCTCCTCCCCAACTCAGTTTGAGAAGCTTCAACCTCTAACTGCAATGTTACAGTTGAGCTCTTCCAAGGCCTGCCCATATCCTCTGGCATAGGAGAGAAACACAGGAGAGAAGCTGAGACCCCACTGAAGTATCTAAAGTGTACAAGTTTATTAATATTTTTTAAAATATCAACTATGCTTTGTAATTCAAGTGAGAGGTAAGCCACCAGCTAAAACAATATTGAAAAATCAGCCAGCCTGCAGTTGTGCTAAACAAGACAGTCATTAACTGTTTCTGAAACTATAATAGTGTTATTAGCAGGACAGGCTACAGCTGTATTTGTTTTCTCCAGCTACTACAGAGTACATTTCCCCTGCTGCTGCTGCTCAAGAAATAGTCAGATATGAATGTGACAGCATTAAGGTTGAAAACTGAGATAAAATTAGAGCATCTTCATTCAGACAAACCTTCTCAACTTCTCTGTATGGTTCATACCTAATTAAGGATTTAGCACTAATTCTGTATTAAAAACCAAGCCACCAGCTGTGATAATTTAATGTTTGGCTGCCAGTTCCAGAGAATACTCATACCACATGCAAGAAATGAGCTCTGCTGAGTAGATTTACATTGCCAGGTCATATTTGTGGGTTTAAAATTTGGTTTTCAAGACACAGGTTCAAGTCTGCAACATGCAGAAAACCAACCAAGAATTTAATCACTGTGGGTGTTTGCATCATGTAAGAATTTACACTTATTTAGGGAATGGCCAAGTGTTGCTCCAAAAACATAGATAGACAAACCAGCAGAATTGATAGGCAGGAGCCAAGGAGATTCAAGGATATTGCAGCTCTGACTTGCACTGCACTGACAAACTCAAGGGTGTTACAGAGCACACAAAACAGACGTGAAGCAGCTCAGCCAGAAGATTAAAAACCAGCAATTCAGAAATAAATGTAACTCCTTTCTATGCCTGGACTGCCCACTGTACAAGCTGTTCACAAGACAAAAAGCTGTTTATATAGAAAAACACACATGACAGTCTGATGACAGGAAACATTACTGCAGAAGATGTGGTGAGCTACAGAAAGGATCACAGGGTTCTAATTGCTMATCTCTGCACTGCTGACTTGGAGGGTTATTGCCCACCAGCAGCTCCCTACCACCATCCTGGTGGCAGGACAAGCTCTGCTCCAAACCTGCAGCTCACAGAGCACTGGGTACCCAGGGCCACAGGGCCAGGAGTTGCCAGTGACTCCAGGACAACCAACCCTGAACTGTAATTTCCCAGGCTGCCCCCACATAAATCTGCCAGATCTGAGTCCAGGCTCAGCCAGAGGCAGAGTGTCCATCACCTCTGCTTCCACAGAGTGTTCCTGAAGCAAACCTTTGTGAATGAGGCATTTTCCTTCCCCCTTCAGTGCTAGAGAACCTGCAGGCTAATCCAGGTTCCTTCCCCMTGGAAATGCACTTCCTACAAATGTAAATACAGCAGCATAAGAGSCTTTTCTTTAGAATGTTTATGTGAAATTTTCTGTGTAACACTATTTCATATTCATGTTTCTGTAGCTCTGACTACTCACTTGCACATTTGAATAAAAAAAAAAATCCACCTCCTGTCCTTGAAAAAAACTACTCACCCACAACTCTGTCTCCTACTTTTACTCCCATCTTCCTCATGGCTGCAGCATACAAAGCCACAGCTTGTCTCAGCTCTTCAAAAGTAACTTTCACAATTTCTTCTTTGCCTTCCCCTGAGGAAAGAAAATTAAACCAACCAGTCAGAAATCAGGCAATGCAATGGAAGCAGAGTCTAGTACAAACAACTAATTCTAGAAGAATAGAAAGTAATTTTAAGAGGATAGTTTCCACTAATATTTATACATTTTGCTTTTGAAGTTCCTTTTCTGCTGCACTAAAAGCTCTTCTTTTTAATGGGAATCAAGTATTAATCAGTGGTATTGTTCAGTAGGCATGAGGACATTTCTAAAGATAAACAGTTCTGCASAAATACAAACTATTCACTGGAGAAAGGTGTGCTCTCAAAGAGGGTTTATGGTTAATAGACTCCACTCAGCAAGGTTAATTTCTAACGTGTAAGAAGCTCATTTTCTCTTTTTGCTCAGTTTTCTCATTAGGTTTAGGAAGCAGCACAAGCTGCCAAGTTTAGGTTTTATYACAGCAAGCCATTGACTAGAAAATCATGCACGTACAGGCCTGACTTCCAATGTGCTTTTGGAACATCTGCCTTTGCCAACAWAGCACAAAGCAAACAAACTAAACTGGACTCCACTCACCTCAAAGGATCTGCARGGTGTTTTCCCTATTGTACTGAATGTCAGGTGTTACATAAGCTGTTAATAAATCACTCGTGAAACAAAATGAACAAACCTGAATGTTATGAAAGCAAAAATCTGTCAACTTAAACCCCCTTCCTGCACCTCAGTGTCACTGCTGCAAACCATGTGGCCTGTCCTATTTTCAACATCCACTATTCCTTATGAAGACACAGCTGCCAAGGATGTCATAAGAAAGGTGAGCTGCACACCCTGGACCTTGCAGAAAAGCTGCCATCAATCTGATTGCCTTAAGCAGGGAATCATATTTTTTACTCTTTTGCCTTCTTAAAACTTGCACACCCATAAATCTGGGCTTGCACAGAGCAAGGGAGCAGGTCATGGTGCAAACAACCCAAATCCATGTAACGTGGAGCTCATAAACTGAGCAGGGACTGCCAACAGAGCCTGTGTTCCYACAGAACAACAGGAAATGAGACGCTGATCTTGCTCCATGATTAAAGCCCCAGGAGAAGGGAATCACTAAAAAGATTCACCGTGGGAGCCAGTGACAAGTGAAATTGTTTAGCAAAGTTACATTTATGTTTCTATGCCCTATGACACTCACACTGCTCCCACAGAATCATCCCCAGCAAACACAAACCTGACCCAGGCCCCCAAACCACCACTCTGACCTAGCAGCAGGGAGTYATCAAAAAATACTCTGACTTAAGAGGTCTTAAGAAGATTAAACACAGCAGAAGGTCACGAAAGAAATGCAGGTGGAAGTCTGTTCACCACAGAGGAGCCAACATGTTATTCCAGCACTCACACAATAATAATAATRCCTCATATAATAATTAATACCTCAAATAATGAGTGATGTTAAACACAGCATGACCTCCACTACCTTAATGCAGTTGAGTATATTCTTAAAAACTTCATTTAGCTTGCAAAGGACTTTCCAGAACTAACTGTATTCCCAGAGCATGTTTTCATGGGGTTTTTCAGCAGAGCTGTACCACAGATTGTGCAGTGTTACTGACTTTATTACCCTTTTTTTTTTCCTCACCCAAACCAGTTTATTTCACTGTTTCATCAGAGCTGTTTCACAAGGCCTTGTCCTGTGAGCAGCACATAAACACAARGCATTAATTTTCCTTACTTGCTGCATACAGTGCAATCTTGTCGTTGTCCTTGTGCTTCAGGAGATTCTCTGCATAGTTCAGACGGCTGCCCTTAAACCATTCCGGGACATCTGCAATGCTTTTGGATGTATCCACCACCTGAAAGAAACACAACATTCATTCCTGGAGAAATAATTGCTTTTTCACAGCATTGTACAGAAGTCAGCTAATTAGTTCTAAGCTCTTTGCAGACTCCATTAGGCAAGAATCATCTCTCCCAGTTTACAGACAGCAAACAGACACTGAATCTGTAATCAGAGGCCTGGAAAGTTTAATTATTTGTCAACTGTCACGAGCAAATACGTCATTACAACAAAACYAGTGAAAACTCCTTGCTGACAGTTGCACCTTCAGACCAGCCTTTAATACACAAGTAAAACAAACCACTGTGACTACACCCAGACCACAAGACACACACAAACCTCAGGGAACATTGAGGTTTTGCTCCTGGGAATACCCCAAACAGGGATTAAACACATTGCAACTCTCTGCCAGGCTGATGAAGGTGTGAGCATCCACTMTTCCCCACCACGAGTCACAGGGTATAGAGACCAGCATGACAAATTCAGAAAATAATCATTGAAAAAAATGAATTGTACAGTCAAATGTAACTGAAAAGTTACAGCTTTTCATTCAAGTTCTCAATTTTTAGGATTAAGAGGATCCAACAATCTAATAAATCCATATTAAGTAACTCCTCAGCCCTAAGACATGCAGAGAATTGAAAARTGCAATGAAAAATAATCAAAAATACATTCAGCTGAAACAACTTCCCCCATCTTGAACTAATTAGGCCTCCAAGTATTAAACTACCCCTTCATAAGTAACAGTTAAGTCTAACTTTAATAACACTGAGAGGTAGAGCCCCTCATCATTAGCCAGAGGTCTAAATTCCTTCCAAAATGTCCCTCTGCTTAGTGATTCAGCTGCTCAGCAGCACATTTATTTGGAAATCTTTAAATAGAAGCTTTATTCGATAGCTGTGTTTTTGAAAGCTTCAGTTTATACCCTCAGGTTCTCCCTCATAGATTGCACATACATTACAGAAAAAGCATTCCTTCAGCCCAAGTGAAAGGCTCTGCTGAAAGCCAAGCTCTACTCTCCAAGTRGAGCCCAAAATACATCCCATTCCAGAAAACCTAATGGTTTTGTGCTACTGCTACTGGAGGCAGTCTTAAAATTAACTTTTAACTTAAAACTCATGTGGAAGTGCATTACTTTACTTCAAGTGCATTTTCTAAAAATGGGAACTCATTTCTTTGCTCCTAACAATTAGGAAGAACCAAGTTACAATATTTATACTTTATCAAYTCAGGCTGCACAAATAATTTTTATACTCACATATATTACTGCAGTAATTAGAAGCTGTTCTTAAAACTGACTCATTTCTGACTTCCTCAGCTTGAAATGAGCAGAATGTTTTCAACATTTTCCAGGACAAGATCCAACATAACTGGTTTTTTTTCTGAACTGGAAAAAATCTTTCACAAAGCTTCAAAGAGCTCCACCAGCACAAGGTGTTGGACTCACACACTTCAGTATTTTTCCCCCAGGTAACATYTATGACTCCTAATTCAGCTCAACTTTTGGGGTGGTATTTTGCTATATGAAAAACATGATCCCTCCCTTAAAGGCCCCTCCACAGGACCAACAGGTGATTGTCACAGCAAAAGGAGAATGAAGACATCATTTAAAAACAGCTGCTGGGAAGTTGGCATTCCAGTGCCAATGGTGCCATGCCAGCACAGCTTTGCACACTGAAGTACTCCCCTGTTCTTTTCACAAGTGCTACAATTGCTACAGAGAGACATGTACATCACATACTTAACATCTTTACTAGGATTAAATAAGACACTGGCTGCTTTTATTCTATGTWCACAAGATTTTGTTTTTCTTAGAATGACCTGTGGAAGTAGAAGCTGTTTCACATACAACTTGAGAAGCTCACAAGTCAAAATCTTCCTAGTCATCCCCATATTGTTTCTTATCCTCAGGAAATATCCATTTTCAGGGCACCATCTCCTGCTTCAGTCTCTCTCCAGTTCATCAGCCACTGTTGGCATCTGGAGGGACTGACTCCCAGGAGGCAAGAGAACAAATGTTACTGTCCAGCTTGCTCAGCACAGATAAACAGGTCCTAATTAGCTCCTCTGAACTGCTTGCTTGAAAAAGTCTGAATTCATGTGGAAATTTAGAATAAACTTGGTAGCAGCACAGAATATGTAGGGAAAATGGACAGTTCCCAGAGTTTGAGCTAGCATTTATAGCAAATGTAAAGAGTAAGTGTTTACAGTGTTCAGACCACACACTTCAAAGCAGGCTAGTTCTTACACTCTTGCTGCATTCCCTCTTCTGAAGGGTGGATCACATTAAGACATCTCAGCACACAGATCTACGGCAAGAAGAACCATTCAATCTATCATATCAGTACAGAAATYAAAAAACCAGGAAAAATCAGAAGAAACATACCAGTCCCCTCTGCAGGACTGCCAGTACCCTGAGGGTTCTGGAACAGATGGACWCCAGGGATTAAAACACACATCCTGTCCTCCCTACTAAATCCCAGCAAGGTTCCACTGCCTCAAGCTTTTCAAGTAATAAGCCCATCATCTCCCTCAGATGGAAAACCACTGAGTGATGTCGATATCCTACACCAGAACTGTGCAAGAGCTCCATCTGCAAGAGCTTCAGAGTTACCTTTATTCCAAAGGAGCTCTGTGGCACTGTCTGGTGTTCTGCCCGTGCCTGTGTCCAACCACCACCATTCCCTCAGAGAGATTTCAAGCCCACACCTGATTGCAGAGCTTCCATAACCAGTTCTACAAAGCCAGAGTGTAACAGGTGTGCTTATCAGGTGAGCTGACTCAGGGAAGACAAAYATGAACTTGGCAGCATGCCAGCATTTACAAAACCAGGGCAATATTCTACCAGGACCCTCAGAAGGCAGAGCATTGACAGACCCCTCACAAGCAGCCAGGAGTGAGTGACAAGGTGTGCAAGAGCACACAACCACAAGGACACTACAGCAGAACTGTTCAAGACAACAAAACACAAGGATTTCACAGTACCAGCAACAGAACACCACCATCCACCACACAAGGAAATTCAGGACTAGACAGATTSCTTATATCCCTTATATCACTTGGCAGAGTTCTAAGAAGAGGTCAAAAGACTGATTATAAARTCAGTTTATTTCCTCTTTGTGTTGCACTCACTATAAGATAAGCACTGAACTTACCTCATCATAGAGGTGAGAGCAGACAATGTTACTGTACTTCCAGAATTCTGCCCAGAAATCGGAGTAGGATTCCACTGACCACTGGTATAAATCATCATAGTTGGCTGGAAATAATAGATACATGTTAGCATTACGCAGAGAATTACAGGAATCTAGACAAACTACAATTAGGGATATCCCAGCTAAAGAAAATTTGTGGCTAAAACAATTAGGAAGATAAGTCTGACCATAGAGTGGATCCCTTCTGCTCAATGCAAGCAATTCTTGAACCAACAGAGAGTCTACCTGGACACCTGAGCATCACTTCAGCTGACTGTGTTACAACCATTTGCCACCACAGAGAGAGTGATCTTTTCTAACAACTCTGTCTAACATCTACACACACTCTGCTGCCATCAGTGCAGCTCAAGACTAAACAAGTCTCGCTTGTTGACACTTCCACTCRCTAGCTATCAATGTGATACTTTCACACAGCAAAAGATAAACAATGCTTCCTGACAAGGGACATTTGCTGTAAGGCCCCAGTCTGGGGCCAAAGACCTCTGATAGCTCAGTGACACAGAAATTAGATGCACTCCTTATCAAACCRTGGCACAAACATCACTGTTATGGGAAGCACAGCTAATTTTCAGTAAATATGGGGTCTGACAGACTGCAGCTTACCTTYTCATGCTGAAACAGCATGAATGAAGTAAAACAAGATGTTTACCAGCTAAATATTAAAACCATGACCCATCATTTAATAACAGCATGGAAATAAGCAGTTTGAGTCTTATATGACTGTGAGACAGATAATGTAACCTGAAGAATACAAAACAAATTCCACAATTAAAACTAAAGGCTGAAATTTTGCAAGTAAAACAGTTCTAGGTATGAATAACTGAAACAAATTCCTCATCACAAGCTTGAAAGAGACATTTCCTCATCATGTCCACACTATSTGAAGCTGTGCCAACAACCAATTAAATGTGAGTTTCCACCATCAGTGACAGTAAGTCTCTGCTCTGCCAACTGTTCCCTATTTGATGCCTTCAGCTAAACCACTCAAAGGCATTTACAGCAATTATCTCTGGTTTGTCATCCTCATATGCAGCCAATTGCCTCAAAAGTCATCTCTGCGATCCCTTTCCTACAAGGAMGACATCTTCCAGCTTTTTAAGAGAAAAACATTCAAAACCATCTCTGYACTGCTACTCACACTTAGCCACTGYTYAGCTGCTATTCACTCTTATCCACTTACTTAGCTGTTTCCCCACCCAGTCTGTCCCTTCCCCATTTTCTTCCCAACTCAATCCTTTCCATCAAAAGGATTTYCATACACATCAGTTGCAGAGATAAGACTTGACACAAGAAAAATTTAAGTTTCCATCTTCTCCTTCAAAACCTGATTGTACCACCTGCTCCAAACCATTTGATACATGCAAGAAGATACAAGTGACCATTAATTTAATTTCTTACATCATCAACAGTTTGTTCTGGTTTGTCTACAAAGCTTGTTCCAAATAAGCTTCAGCATACAAGTCCTTCAGGGCACAGGCCTGTTACTCAACAATTAAACATTGCATTTTGTTACTACATTTCCAGGGCCCAGCAGAACCATTGTCTAAAGGGCTATATTGCCCTCAGCTCTCCTCAGAGAATCCACATCTTAATGTTACATAAAGCATCTATTCTTTGTTGTTGAATAGCACTTAGGCCAATGAACACCAATACAAACCTAATGGAAGCTGACAAAGGTTTCTATATATACACAAGAATTCACCTTCCAATGGAGAAAGCCACTTCCGAGTGGGATGAAAAGAGTTCTATTTGTTTCAACCACAGACACAGCCAGCCCATCTGAAACTGCATTTGTTTTTGATCATATGAGCACCAGTTCAATCACATTCCACTCAGAAGTTAACTAAAACCCTGCAGTAACTTGCTTCCCATCCAGCAGGAGAGTTAGGCACCACACACTTGGATTCCAATAGGAAACCACCAGCAGTCAACATCATGACCTGCTTTTCCCACACAGTAATCAAGGTGAGGAATTGTTTTTTAGACACGAACTGCCAGAAGCACTGTTGACATTGCTCATACCACTGACACCTATATTGGACTGACAAACTTCCAAGCCACTTGCCAAAACTACTCCCTTTACCCCCATCACACAAGTGATTGCAGGGAAGCTACACAAACAACTTGGGCCCCAAATACTTTGAGGAAAACAATATAAAACTGGTGAGAAGTGAAGGGTTTGACCCCCACATGCACTGAAGTATACCTGGTCCATGATGCTGCTGAACCCACAGAACCAGCACCCCTGACTCCTGAGAGCCTGAAGAGACAACCTACAGCCAATAGTTATGGAAAAAACTCACCTCTCTGAGTTGAAAACTCCTCTGGAGATGCAATCCCTACTCAAAGCGGGCCTCATTTCAAAGGCAACAGGTTGTTTTTCCAAGTCAAAGACCCACACACCTGTTCACAGCCACACAGGTGTTTCTSAACAAGCACAAAGCAGGGATTGCAGTTCAAGAGCTGTGGCAAACACACAGCAAAAAGCCCTTACCTTACACAACTGAACAAGCTTACACAGTACACCTGAATATTACTAAACGCATATTCTTCATAATAAAAGAGGGGAATAACTCCAATCTCACAAGGCTCTGCTGCTGAAGCATCACCCTAATGCTGAAATTCACCCCACAGCCACAGCAGGGATCCCACCTTTCCCCGTCCCTTTCAAACACGGGCTCACCCCAGCACCGCTCCCGGCCCCACACCGGCAGCCTCGGCAGGTAGCGATGCCGGCRCTGCCCGGGCTGACATCCAGCCACAGCAGCAGCAGGAGCAGATAAGGCTGTTTGCATTTCCCATCGGCACATAGCTTCACACCAGCGGATGCTGCCCCGGAGGCCTCTGGCTGAGGCTCAARCAGAGCATCCCAAAGCACCGTGCCCGCTTTCCTCGGCATCCTGAGTGACAAAGGGATAGCCCCCAGACCTGCCGAGGGCCCACGGTGAAACCAGCGCCGGGAAGGCACAACCCGGCGGCCCCCACAGCCCGAGCACGGCCCCGGGCAGCGCCCGCCCGCCCCCGCCYAGCGCTCACCCAGGCGGCGCCCGCAACTGCTGGCCACGGCGGCGCGGAACCGGTCCATGTGGGTGTTACGCTTCGTGTCAGGCTCCCACATCACCTGCGACTCCATGATCTCGGGCTCCCGGGACATGGCGGCGGCAGGGGAGCGAGGCGAGCACGGTCCGTCCCGCGGGCAGCGACAAACCAGAATGAGCGCTGCCCCGCCGCGCCTCAGCGCTGACTGCGGCCCCTCCTCCGCGCGCACCCTTTAAGGCGCAGCGAACGCATCACGCCGTAACCTTCCGCCGCGGAGAAAAGTGCGGGGCGCCCCGCCCGCCGAGGGGGCGGTGGGGACCGGGGGGACAGCGGGGACACGGGGACAGCGGGGGATGGGCGGGGACGGGCGGCGGGGATGACCCGGGGAGTGCGGGCTGAACCCCTCCGGCTGCCCCCGGAGCGCGGCACGGCGCGGACGGTGCGGGATGAATGCGGGAGCGGCCGCGCCGGACAGGTCCCTGTCACCTCTAAAGGTCACCGGCGGCACCGGCTGGAACCATCGTCGCTGCGCGCTTTTCAGCGGATCTCCGCAAAATCACCGCCGCTCTGTTTGGTTTTTCTCCCCAGGGAGGCCTGAAGTGTGAACCAACAAGTGTGTTTCACCCAAAAATGAGGCAAAGAACGCGTCTCTTTGCCGATGCCTCGCCATCCCAGCTGCGCTTGTGTAACACTCCCAGCCTACACACCTTGCACCTTGGATTAAAACTTAATGTTACTGCTCTGCTTTCAAAATGTGAGCTCTACTGAAACGTGAATCTGCTACTGACCATTGAGATGTTGCAGCAGCCGATTTTAGCCAGGAATTGGTGGTTATAAAGCACTTAACAAGGTGAAATTCACTGCTAGACCATGGTCTTTAGAAGTCTTTTACAACCTAAATGATTCCACGATTCACGGTGTATCCATGCTTTTGCAACTTATTTTCAAGGTCATGATTTAGCTTCTAATTCATGAACGCCTCAAAAATGGCAATTTGATGATAAATTGTACAGGCATATTGCATATGAAAATAAAATCCATGTAGTAGATTGTATACTCGCTCTGTGTTTCACTGCGACTTTTGTGCYAGCRGAATACAACTACTTYAWTAAATGTGGAGGCCGTGAAAATGCRATTTAAACAAACCAGAATTTTTATTTGCCTAGAGAGAAACCTGATATCTGGTGTATAACTCTCCCCAAAGCCCGAGGGATTGGGGAAGGCTGAGCTGGAACGGGCACACATTATCTTGCCTGACGTGCCTCCCTGGCCTTGGCAGCGCTCGGGGGTCAGTGGAAGTGTGAAATCCATGGCTGGATTTCAGAGATAAGGGAGAAGGCAGGACAGCAGCTCCGGTGTCCACATCCCGAAGGGTTCAGTGGGCTGGGATCCGCAGTGGTGGGGGAATGTCCAGAGAATCCATCCTTCTGCAAGCTGCAAAAGAGATAACTTGTAGTGGGTGCCGCTTTTGGGTTGTGAAGGTGTTTCTGGCACTGGTAGAGGACAAAGGCAGGAGGGTTTTGCCTCCTGCCCCATCACATTGCTCCATTCACCCCACAATGATGAACATTCTGTCCTGCTCTGGGGACAGGGGTGAGCTTTGGGCCGGGTGTTGGACAGGTTGAAAATTACCCCTGAGCAAACCCCTGCTGCATGCCATCTATGGCTCCAGGGAYAGAACAAGAGGACAGAGGCTTAAGCTGTGCYAGRGGAGGTTTAGGTGGGACATCAGGAAGAATTTCTTCACAGAAAAGGCAATTAGATGTTTGAATGGACTTCCCAATGAAGTAGTGGAATCAGCGCCCGTGGAGGTGTTTAAGGAAAGGCTGGACGTGGCACTGAGCGCTCTGATCTGGTTACCAAGGTGGAGTTGGATCGCAAGCCGGACTCGATGCTCGCCGAAGCCTTTGCCAAGCGCAGCGGTGCCGTGACTCTGTCCCTCCGTGACTCCGTGACCCGCCCGCCGCCGCCGCCCCTCAGGGCCGGGCGGGCCCGCGCTGCGGACGGATCCCGCGCRGCGCACCGCGCCCGTGACGCCGCCGCCTCTGATTGGCTGCGGCGCGCCTGGCCCCACATCAGCCCAGAGCCCGCCGGKCCCGCGGGGGAGGAGCCGACGCCGGGCGGGACCAATGGGAGCGGAGCTTTCTCAAGGTCTTCTCCCTGCTGACCAATGAGCGGCCGGGTCTGGGGGAGGTGTGCCCAATCAGAGCAGCGCTCTCATGCGCTCGGGGGTCGCGCCGTGGTTCCCCTCAGCGCTGAGGCGATGCCCAAATTGAACGTTTTGGGTAAAAAAAACACAGAATAACTGAATCAATTCGGCTGGAAAAGACGTCTGAGATCATCGATTCCAACCCATGGCCCAACACYACGCTGTCAACCACACCATGGTACTGTCTCATGCAACATTTCTTTAAACACTTCCAGGGACTCATTCCTCCACCTTCCTGAGCAGCCCATTCTAATGTCTAAAACATCCCTTCTGTGAAGAGTTTCCTCCTAAAAGCAGCAGCAAAACAGTGCTTTCCACACTCAAAGCAATCTGTGCTCCTAAAAAGAAAATCTGTGCTCCCAAATCRCCTGAGAAGGGACACAAAAATCTTCTCAGTAAACTAAAAAAGGTGTCATTTTAAAAAGACTGACCCAATTAYAGCTCAGGGAGGAAGGAGCATGATGGATTTACTGATAAAACTGGGCTTTTAGGAAAGCCTGACAGCGCTTCTCAATTATTAGCAGCAGTTTTACTATCACCTCCTTACTTAGAGAGGTTTATGCATTAATGTTCCCTGCTTTCATCCCARTTTCCCCCTATCCAAACCAGTTTTTCCATCTTTCAAAAGTGACTTGGGAAATGTGGGAAGTAAAAGAAGGAAAAATTAAACAAACCTTTAATGAGAAAATGTGCATTAAGAGGACTGCAGTGACCACTGTAATTAGTTTGGACACTAGATTAGGATAGCTGGAGGAAAATAGCCTAAATAAGATTAACTGGAATTGTCCATTTTCCAATCTTTTTAAGCTTTATGGCTGCTAATATAATAGGTTAGAAATGAAATCATATTTTCTGCCTCAGATTAGATTAGGGGCTGTTCAAAAGATGTTTCAGAGCTGATGAACAGCAATAATGGGCTGATGGCACTACCCCTTTGTGGGCTCTGAGGTAACCTGGAGTCACCTGGAAGATTAAATTGATTGATGAAATTTCTGCATCTATGAGATAAAAGTTTTGTAATAATACCCCGTGGCGATCTCTGCAATACACAGAGGCCTGACCATGATCCATTGATCCAACAACTGGATTAGGAAATCTAAAGATTTTGGAAAGTTTTTTTAAAAAATCATATATACAGAGCATCGGCCAGCTGGTTAATGAGTCTGGATAAGAATAAGAAACTTCTGGCTCATCTGATGTCCATGACCTCTGAAACCTCTACATGGTATCAGCAGTACAAGTAACCAGAATCAGAATCAAAGGCATTTGCAGAAAAGGGGGAAAAAGAAAGGAAAAGGAAAGGGAAAAGGGGGGGAAAAAAAAAGAAGAAAATAAACAGTGACACATTGCAAGAAAAATCTCATGGGGAGGACATTAAGAAAAAAGGCCTAAAATGACAAATGGTTGTAAAGTAATCAGCTATGAMAGGTTGAGGCTGTGAGATGAAGTAAAGACAGAAAAATAAGGGGCTGAGTGAGGGTAGGAACTGGTCCACAGTGACATCAGCTGGCTTGCTTTAAGGCCATGCCACTTTTTTCRGCATAAAGATGATTTTAAAAGACAGAACCCTGTGACCTGCTAAAACTTAGACATCTAGAAGATCCCAGTTTTTTCTAAACACTGTTCAAGTTGTTGTTAAATCCCTATCTCTGAGTGAGGAAATARAGAAGCACACTCATTCTTCCTCTGTACAGTGAGCCCCTCATCAGAGGATTTTTCTAGAAACCTCCAGTTGTCCTCACTAAGAAGTTCAGTGTGGCTGAGATCAGTATTTCATGCCATGATGCAATGTATTCTTTGAGCAGATGCGATTTCATYTATTTAAACGAGGCGAGTGAAATACCACGTCATTTCATAAGAGCTGTGCATTTGGAAAGATAAATTTACCTGAAATAGACTCATTGAGACAGATCAGGAAATCAATTAAATACCAGGAAAGATTCCCAAATTATCCTGACCCCTGAGCGCAGACCTTTGAGAGCAGCCACCACCAAAGGCCTCTGGAACTCTGTGAAGAACAGATAAAACAGACATTTTTGAGAAGTGATTTTGAGGATATTCCACCATGGAAATTCACACAGAGAAACAGGAATGTTCCCAAATTCACAGAAACAAGACATATTGGACCATAAACAGCAGAGAGGGACCCAGAGAAGCAAACCAAAGAATTATACCAGGCACAGAAAACTCACGGCAGTTAATTATCATCATGGTTTTGAATTATGAGCTCTTTACATGCAAGAAATGCCCCAGAAGCTGACTTTAGTGTGTGCTCAGATTAAAAGCACAGCGTGGCACTGAGAGCAGATAACCATAAACCTCCTAAGAACTCAGAAATATCAGTTACCAACCCATTCTGGAAGAGGATGAGACTTCAGGCTATGCACAGCTATCAACACATCAGCAATTTCAGGGCCATCTTAAAGGAAAGCACTCTTTATAAATATATAAAACATCTATATCCTGCTGAAATCGAACAAGATCCTAAGTACCTTGCTGGATCTGGGCCCAGCCTTTGCAGGGCCAAATAGAAAATAATGTTGAAAGGTCTAGGCCGCTCTGCTAAATGTGAAAATAAGTGCTTTGGCCAGACTAAAACTGGGAAAAAGGCCATAGCAGAGATGTCTATATTCCAAATATCTACTCAGCTACAAGGCTTAAGGCTGAGCCACAAGGTTTAAACATCAAGAACATGGGGTATAAAATCAGAAAGAGATGTTTGAAGTTATTCCAGYGACTGGGAAAGCTAAAAGCTGTGCCCCTGACTCTGGAGGAGCTCCCCAGGAAGGGGCCACGAAAAGCAGAGATCTGCCCTGGAATTTTAGAGCAGAGGCCCTCAGTGGTGCAGAGGAATGGGCATGGGTTGCCCACACCTTCCCAAACTCRAAGAGAAGCTCTGGGGAGGATCTCRAAGTTACTGYTGGGCAATTTAGCAAATATTTGCTGCCCTAGGTCACGTCATGAATTGGTGCAGGATCTGTGCTACAGACCTGTGGATCTATTTTTATATCTCCATCATTGTGTTCCTGGATGAATCAGAATGTGCTCTGAAGGCAATAAAGTGCTTTTCTATCTCCTGGGGATTCTTACTTCACTCTACCAACAGCATGCTTGGGATTCATGACCCAGAAGGAGCTGATAAGATTGTCTAATTTACACTTCCCAGCTGTTTTTTTGTTAGCCTGGTTAGTCAGGAAAAATCAACACAAAACCTGTTGGAAGAGGGAGTTATACCATGAAACRTGCTGAATTTCAGCATGYACATCTGAGTCAGAGTTTCTCAAGRGTRAAGGGTATGAGCAYCCTTCAGAATCCCTCRATGTGAGGTTGACAGACTACTGGAAAGAGAAACGTCATTTTTTTTGACACAAAAATACTATATTTCCCTTGTCATTTAGGGACTGTGTCTAAGAATCTCCTCAGAGATTTCCTACCCATGTAGAAAAAGCAGCTCATTGTAGTTCTGTAAAAGGCTGTGATGAGTCTCCAGAGCCCAAAGAGCTGAATGATTTAAAAGCTCAATGGGAGAGGTTGGAGAGCCAAGGAAGCTGATCAGGAGTTGGGAACGGGCCCTGTGGCAAAGAAACCCGACAGCATCCAGGGCAGTGTTAGTAAGAACAAAGCCAGCAGCTCAAGGGACATGATTCATCCCCTGGCATTGGCACTGCCAAGACCACATCTGGAACAGAGTGCTCAGGTTTGTTTTTGGTGCTGGAAGACAGGAATTGCTGCTGGAGGAACAACAAAGAACCCAAGGGTGGTGACACAGGAACACATCTGGGTGKGTTTTCAATGTCTCCACAACCTTCCTGGGCAGCCTGTTCAGTGCTCTTCCAGCTTCAGCATACAGAGGATCTTCCTCATATTGGGGTGGAACTTCTTGCATTTCAATTTATGGCTTATTGCTCCTCATCCTGCTGCTGGGAAGCACTGAAAAGAGTTGGGCACCACTGAAAACAGTCTGGCACCATTCTCTTGGCACCCGCCTTTGAGATATTTATATGCATTAATGAGATCCCGTCTCAGTCTTTTCTTCTCCACGTTAAACAGGTCCAGCTCCCGCAGTCTGTCCTCATAAGARWGATGCTCCAGACCCCAAATCATCTCGGTGGCCTCCGTTGGACCCCGTCCAGCAGCTCGGTGTCTCTCTTGTGCGGAGGAGCTCAGAGCCGCACGCAGCACTGCAGACGGAGCCTCACTAAAGCGGCGCAGAGGGAGCGGATCAGCTCTAGCCGAACTGCCCGCGGTTATCTGGGCGGGCTGTGCCAAGCTCAGCGATAATTCCGTGATTTCCCCAAACCCGCGGCGCGGCGGGAGCCCCTCCTCTCCCCTCCCCGCTCCTCCCCGGCCCGATCGTTGGGAGCGCGGCCCGCGGGAGGCGCTGCGGCGGCGGCGGCGGGAGCGGCGGGGCGGCCATGGCGGCGGCGCGGCGGGTGCAGCTCCTGGGGCTGCTGCTGCTGCTGCTGCTGCTGCTGCTCGGAGCGGCGGGGCCCGGCGCTCGGGCCGCTCGGAGCCGCGGGGCCGACCGCCAGAACAGCCTCCGCCGCGCCGCCAGCGGCCTCTACCAGGGCGTCAGCGGCCTCTTCGGCGAGGACAACGTGCGGGCCCTGCAGAAGGTGAGGCGCCGGTTGCTGTTTCCCCCATCCCCCCGCCATCTCCCGCGCTTCCTCCGCTTCTTTTCGCTCGGCCGCGGGGTTCCGGCGGTGCGGGCGGCTCCCGGTGCTCCCCGGTGCGGGGYTCGCTGCTGGAGCGGCCGTGGCCTCGTCCCGATGCGAGCGAGGCGGGGAACGGCCGGATCGCTGCTTTGGGGAGATAAACGGGAGGCGAGGCTTGCAGAAAACTGGGGAAAATAGCAGCGAAACGGCTAAATGAAGGTTATTTTARGTGGGGGAGACGGCCAGGGCCGCTCGCTGTCGGTGAGGAGCCCTCCAGATGAAATCCGGTCTGGCTGCATCAGCAGAGCATCCTGTGCTTGTAGGGCCATAGGAACTTGCAGGAAATCGGGCGTGCGGGACATGTACATTCCTCTGTTCCTGCTTTCCTCAGGCCGCAGGAAGAAATAATAAATTCTATTGGATTGATCTCTGAGTACACCTGCGACATTTGTTTGTGATGCTGGGGACATCTCTCAGTTGCTTGATAAAACTAAATTTTTGGTTTGCTTTACCAGTTGTTGGTAATAGTGTTTTCTCTAAACTTCAGAACAACAGTAAAGTAAATAAAGTGCATTTTAAAATCCTATCAACATATACATTTACATGTCAAAATACCTACAATAAGGATAATTTCAATGTGTAAATTTATGATTTACAGAGTTAAAAGATTTACAGAATTACAATTTTTCCCTTGGGGACTACAAAATAATCTGCAATTCTTTCTTAATGAATTATGATTCTGCTCATGATGAATAAGCCTCAAAGTGTTATTTTAGGAATTGAGGATTTTTTTAATTTTCAATTTTATTTCTCAGTTTTTCTCAAGGTTGACAGAGAGGTTTGTGAATGGGGTGGATGTATTAATGGACACATTCTGGAGAATATGGACTGATTTGTTAGATGTTCTTGGAATTGATGGTAAGTGTGATGCCTGTTCACCCTTGAACTGTCTCAGCCTGTATCAGTGTTTACAAGCAAATGGGAAAACAATTGCATTTTATCATKCTGCTTAAACATCTGTCAGTGGTGTCTCTGCTTCACGTGGCTTTGATTTTCCTATTAGTATCTTCAAACAAGAAGACTGAACCCCRCCATTCCATTTCTGTATGTGTCTTTCTACAGGATGTGTATAGAATGAATTRCAAACCACTGTTGTGGTGTCATCATTAAATGGATTCACACAGCCAGGAACAGTGCAGGGAAATCAAGTAGGATTAGAGAAAGGAAAGATGCAATTGAGAGCCTTTAGAATGTGGATTTTACAAAGCAGGTTCTGTAGCTGCCAGAATGAGCTTTGACCTTAGGYTCTGCAGTGGTTTGTCTTTTAAAACCATTTAGCACCTGTACTAGAATTAATTCAGTTGAATCATTGGAGCTGAGCCAGTGATTTSAAGAAGGTTCATCCAGAAATGGATGAAGCAGCTTTACCCGTTACATTAGAAAACACAGCCACGACCCCACTTCTGTGTGGGTTTGACCCTTTGGAGCWGCGCTCGTGTTTTTCCCTGTGCCACCTTCAGCTCACACTCATTAACATTCTGTCCATTTTCCTTTGTTTTCCAGCCTCCAACCTGACTCATTATTTCAGCCCAGCAGCGATTGCCAACAACCCGACCCGCGCCCTCCTGCTGATCGGTGCCATTTTACTGGCCTATTGGTTTCTATCTCTCTTCCTCGGATTCTTCTTCTATCTCCTGCACATGCTGTTTGGCCGCTTCTTCTGGATCGCCAGGGTGGCCCTGTTCACCCTGTCATGTGTCTACATCCTGCAGAAATAYGAGGGTGACCCCGAGCACGCCGTGCTGCCGCTCTGCTTCGTCGTGGCCGTCTACTTCATGACGGGGCCCGTTGGATTTTACTGGAGAAGAAACAGCAACAGCAGCCTGGAGGAGAAGATGGACCACCTGGATAGTCAGATCAGACTGCTGAACATCCGCCTTTCCAGGGTGATTGAGAACCTGGACAGGGGCAGTGAGCAATAAACCGGCCCCTACAGACCACTGTACACCAGCTCCGGAGAATTCCTAAGCACTGTCTCATCCGAAGTTACAAAGCAACAAAAACATCACATGGTAAAAAGTGTGCAAAGTTATAACTTTTCATCATGTGTAAGACTAATTTATCTAGATTAAACACTCAGCCATTTAGACTTCTAGGAGAAAGAGAAGCATTTACAAAAATTCAGCTGTATATTCAGAGTTTTATCCAGTACTAGAATTTTCTCAGTAGATAAACGCTTACTTTTACAAGCATTTAAAAACGTCTTTTGTAAAGTTTTTATAAAAGCAAATTGAGTAGTCTTTCAGATATTGAAATTGAGTTAAACATATGCAAATTTGACACTTTAAAAGTTAAAAAGAAAAAAAAATATCTCAAGCTACCAAGCACTTCCATTGAGAAGTAACTGCTGTGGGTCCATATTTTTTCTTCAGAGTTGTGAATGTTTTTGTGTTTTTGTTGGCTTATTTCATTGCCTTGAAGTTGCCTTTCATAGAGTATCAGATGAGGAATTTTCTGGTATCCAGGCCAAAAAATTCACACCATAGCTTTTAACAGGAGGTGGGGAATGAGGGAGAAGGAAGATTTGAAGTCCTTAAATGCCAGTCCAGTGAGGAAGCGCACGTGTGGCATTTTACCATTGCACATCATCTCGAGAACTTTAATTTGTTAGTGTTTGGAAGGAAATCTGGTTTAATAAATTGGCACAGAAGGAAGATGTAGTGTGACAAATTGTCATTCATATCTGATCTGCACAGTAAAGCATTTAAAAAGCATAAGTGCATAGAGTAAACCATGATTTTTATTCTCAGGACCCACGTACTTTCTCAGAAAAGGCAGCAGTTAAAACACGTGCAGATGTATTGTTGCTTAAAGCTTTCTCAGGACCAATAAGCGGCAATAAATTATCTTCAGGAAGATCTGGATTTTTTTCTAAAATTACAATAGTTTTATAGGAGCTTTTTGCTTGAAGTCTGTGTCCTCATTAGGTTTTGGGGAAAGTGAGTCACCTTTAAGAGGAGGGTGTAGGAAACGGTTCTCTTTCAAAGCAGAGGAGCTTTGAAGCAATTTTATTTTGCAGGATTTCTGTATTTGTAACTTAGAACTAACGAGCCTGGTAGGGTATCACTGGCTGTGCAGGTTTACTGAAACACACTGAAACAAAGGTAACCTCAGGGAAGGAAGTCTGGAATGTGATTTAACCTGGAAACAATAWCCAAGGATACAGATGTGTGGAGGGAGGGGAAGCATCTGACCCCTGGTGATGAGCACAGTTCTGATACMGTGAGGGGTAGGATGGAGCACAGCTGAAGCACTCCATGCTCCAAAGGGTCCAAATGAACAACTCCACTAAAAAGCGCAACAAAAATTGGTCTGTGATGGGCCTGGCTACAAAGCAAGGGAACAAGAGGAGGAGGAGGAGTTCCCCAGGTGTGCCTGCCAGTGCCAGCTCTGGTGGGACAGGCTGCACCCCCTGAGCACAGCTCCTGTCCCACTGCGTAGAGCTTTCAGTGGATGTGATGCTTAACTGAATGTAACTGTGGGGCGAATTTATTTTTCTCTTTATGCTGAAGTTTAATGTTCTTAAAATGTGTGTGTTACTTGCCTAACCTCTTTGGGTCTGAATGTGACATTTCCATGGGGGTTATTTTTAAATCCATGTTAATGGCCTTTACTMTGAACGGTGATCACTTTGGTTCAACACGGTTGAAATTCATATGCACTTGGCACGGTTGGAATCYATTTTAATTTTTTATGTCACTTGTAAATCCCTCTGCACCCCATTTATCAASAAGTACACAGTTTAGAGTTGTTAAATAACCGGTTATCACAATTTAAAATCTTTCCTGTGAACAAATAGGGACTATAGCAACAAACAGTCCAACTTGCCAAGCTGAAAGTGGCAATTACAGTGTATTCCTTTTTCCAGCTCATTTTTCACAGTATTACAGAGTCTTCCCTGTCAACTCAGTTCTCCCTATTGTGCACAGAGGACTGGGCTAAAACACCAACCTGGCAATTAGGAATTGACTAGTAAAGCTTGTCAGGTCTCGATGTGTTTTGTCAAATTTGAGACCTGAGGACCAAAGTTTGCAAACTCAGCGGCTCCATCGCCTTCTTAGGATGATGTGCATGGGTCAGTTTGCATAGATTGTATTTTGTGTAATCCATATTTAACGTTGAAGTTGAAAGTACTGAATCATTTATATATTAAGAGTTGTCTATGATAAAGATTTCTTTAAAGTATTATATGAAAGTTAATTTGGGTTATAGTTTCTCCCTGTCTTGCCCTAATCAKTTATCTTAGTTTTGTAAAATCAGCCCTCCTATATTAATACTCCTGATTTTGATCACCCTGCTGCTTGAAAAATGGTATTTTTATATTTACTTGCATCCCATGTATAGCAAAACATTATGTGAAAAGCAGTATATATAAAATTGGGTATTTTTAATCAGTATTTTTCCCAGCACTCAGTTTTCACATTAGTCAAATTCAGAAGTAATGATTTTTTTAAAGCACAATCTAATCTTCAATATATATATATAAATATATACTTTAAAAATGCTCTGTATTTTTAAACATGCACTGTAGTGAAAGCGCTTTTGGAACATGAATGTGGTATTGTATTYAATCTCTTTCAACTTTTGTAAATACCTTTTACAAGTATTTTCCATACCGGGCCATCTAGTTWCTCCATGGAGGTTTTTGCTGTTTTTTAGAACCCGTGCTGGTGGTTC